ATTAGTATTTATAGGATGGCTTTACATTCTGTGAGACCTCTCTCCCGCCCTGAGCCTCTGGCCGGTCTGCTCGGCATATCCAAAAAAAAAAAAAAAAAAAAAAAAAAAAAAAAAAAAAACCCAATCCAAATTTGGGATAACAAGGAAGTACATAAAGGGTTGGATAACTGCCCCTAAAATTCTTCAGATTTTCTTTACTTAATGCCTAATCCCTGACCAGAGTAAGAAAGATAAAGATATATTCCTAGCATAACATAAATAGAAGGTGCTAAGGGGAAACAGTGATCAAATGCTTATGAAATATTTATGCCCTGTATTCCAAAGGAGAATTTTACTATCTCCCATTATTTTGGGTACTATAATTAATTAAATACAATCTCTTATCTGTATTGGCAGTTTATGTTGTACTTTGATGCTTATCATAAACTAACGGATAAAATCATGTCTTCAACAAAAAAGTCTAAGCATTATAGAAAAGACTTTCCTAGTATTCTGAATTATTAAGAGTTAAAGAAAAAAACCTGAGTTTTTAACTTAGACTTAACTTAGACAACTTCCAGACTGTACTGATGAACTATCTTAGGATTTCAAGGATTATTTTCGGTCTGGAAATAGATATGTTTTGTGAAAGCATATTCCTGACCCGAGATTCAGAGCAACAAGAATTAATTACATAGGACTGAATGAATTACTGAGGAAAACCTAATTATGATTATTTACTTAGATATTGTGGGTATTTTTTAATATTCTACTTCCAAACAGATATGTTAAAAAGCTCTTCCTTTCCTTCTCAGACTGTCTCTAACCCTCAATTTAGTATACGCTCCTTTTATAATCTGAGTAAAACAGTTTTCAGCAGTGTCTGATTCTCACCAACCATGCAGAATTCAAAACAAGTCCTTTAACTGAACGTCCTTACTTTATATATAACTGTTACATAGGTTCAATAGCAATTTATTTTCCTTTATATAAGGATATAATTAAGTAAATCAATTGTGTATAACAAAGCTATATTTTAAAATGATTCTTTTTTATTCAAATAGAACAAGCTGCTGTTAAGGAACAGGGACTGACTTTACGTGGAGTGAATGTCTATTGTGTTCTCCCAAGAAAAATAGCCTGCAACTTAGTTCCTAAGATCTCATAGGTAGTAAAATAGTCACATATCAGCAGGTTAGGAACCTCAGTTGATGTGGGAAATCTTATATGAAATAAATTTCATTCAAATTTGCATGTGTTGCAAGTGAGAGAATTTCTAAAGTTTGGATTTTAGTCTCAAAATAGGAAAAAAAATATTTACAATGTACAATATGAAATTCTTTAAAAAAAAAACACTTAGAGCAGAAATTAACTCTTTGGCTGAAGAAGATCTTAAATAGTGAGTGTTCAGATCTGTCTTTGCAAATCAACATAAAGGAGGTTTATAAAGGCTCATTAATACTTAGTGCAACTATACAAACAGCCACATCAAATAAAATGGCATGGTCTCTCCTGTGATCATGAGCATAGGTAAAGGAGTTGCTATGAGAAATGATTCAATATGCAGAAATGGCAAATCAGACTGTCTACACCCTTTGCAGATTTAGCTGATCTCTTATGTCTGACTGTTCTTGACTAACTTGCTATCAACTAAGCTACTGTACATTCTGTAGGGACAGAGGACAAATTATAGAAAACTGTAATGACAATTATTCTCATCCAAACCAATAAATTAATTTTGTCTGATAGAGAATATAAATGTCTATATAGCTCATAGTCTCATTTTCACATTTTGCTGCTTCTCACAGTAATTAAGGAGCTGAAGAAAATCCACGACACATGTTCATTTTACATTTGTATAAGGGTCATAGTTTTAACTTTATGAAAACTGAACTTTAATAACTCTTAAAAAAACATTTCAACTTGTCTAACAAATTAATTTGGATACTTATAACTGGATCAACATAGCTAATGTTTGCTTGGATTTTTAAGATAATTTAAGACAATTAGGTGCTATGGGCTTAAATATCTGTCTCATTTTTCTGAGAGCTTATTAGAAGTGTTAAGTAATGAAAGCAGGAGGCTAAAGCATAAGAAACTGAAACAAGACATGTCCAGTGCATTTAGCTGGCTGTAACTGCATGCATATAATCAAGACTTGTATGTCACTTTATGTTTAATGTAGGAGGACAAACAAAAAACATTACCTGTCTATAGTATTTTTCATATACAGGATTTCCACTTGATAACTAAAATAGATAGAAAGTAAATGTTATTCAGTAATTATTCAATTGATATACTGGCATTCACTTAACAGATATTTGAGAAACAAAGATGAACAATATTATTAAAATATACTTGATTAATAAAACTAGCTTTCTTTCTTTTGGGGAGAGGGAGAGTAAATGAAAGCTGCTACACAATTACAAAAAAATGAGTTCTCAAACAGTATCCAATACTTAACTCTGAAAGTCTATAATTACACTTCAAATGAACTGTAGGAGTTACATCAAAAGTTTTCCTATATTTAACTGGATAAATTTATATTCTGTTTGGGAATAAAGTGAAATTATATTCTACAATTTTACAGCATCTAAATTTAATAGAACACACAAAATAATCATAAATAGGAACAACTTATATAACAAGATTTGTCTTATAAAAACCTAGTCAAAGAGACTATATTTGGTAAAGGCAAGAAGATGCTGTTATGAAAATACTAGAACTGATTAATTTATTGTCTTCAATAAGAAAAAATAATTAGAATATTCTCCATTTAGTAAAACTTTTATTGAGCTGATTCAACTATATCCCAACATATACAAAGAGTATATTAGCAATGAAATATACTATGGTTACAGAGAAAATTCAACTGTAGGAATTAACAACCACAGCCATATAATGAAAGAAATACTGCAAATAATTCTATTTAAAAATTAAAACTACTTAAACTACATCAGAAAGTAATTATTTCAGAAAAGCCTTGGAGATATAATATTAGAGACAGAGATGGCTAAGATACTCATAAAATGTGATTACCAGAAATAATGAGTCTGCTTGTATTTTTCATATTCTGATAATCAGTACAATATTGTAATGTAAAACAAACCACTTAACTAAACTTTGAATATCATTTTTTTTATTTAAAAAAACATTTTGGTAATAAAAACATGCTTCCAAAAACTTAATGGATTTTAAGTATGTATAATGTCACTTTCATTCATAAAAAGTCCCAACTTGAATGAAAAATACTTTGCTAAATACTCTGAAGAAGCATATGAAGATCCCTTATTAATAAAGAGCTAATTTTTAAAGAAAATCAGCTGAATACTTAGTACCCAGGGGAAAAAATTACATAGTAAGAAATCCTGGGCTCTAACCTCTACCTCATTAATCATCATATTAAGACTCATTGGTTGTTACATGAACACATCTGAGAAGGCATTAGCTCACTAAAGGGTTAGAAAGTACACTCTGTACTGATTCCTACACTAATGCGATACAGTTAAGTGAAAATGGAAAAAAACATCTAAATTGCCAATTCACTCACTCATCCAGCAAGCTGACCCAAGGGTGTTTTTGGTGTCTCTCAGTAAAACTGTCCTTTTTTACTAAAATATGATCATTTTAAACAAACAAAAAGAAAATCTATACATGCAAAACATATAATAGGTACATAGAAAAATATTTGAAAGGCATTAATTAAAATGGTAATATGATTCTTTCTAGATTATGAATGATTTTACATCCATTTTCATACAATATCAAAATCTTATCTTTTAAGATTCTAATGGTATTATAATTTAAAAGCAATGATTTGGGCCCTCCCTGGTGGCGCAGCGGGTTGAAGCACAGCACTGAAAATCTAAAGCCGCTTCTGCATGAGTTCGATTCCCGCCTGCCCCGGAGGTGACCACATGGCGTGGCAGACCTCCCCTGGCCCGCCCGCTGCTCCCCTCAGCAGTGTGCTTCGTAGATCTGCCTGTTCTGCTCCCCACTCTGTCTCTGATGAAGCCTCTCGCCACCCCTGAGCCTCTGGCCTGTACCCCAGTTCTGTATGCACAAATAAATAAATCTTTAAAAAAAAAGCAATGATTTATCCACAGCTACAGCACAAACTTTAGCAGTTGCCACTAGGTTAAATATTCATAAACATAAAAATTTCTTCTACATTCATGCAGAAGGAGACAATAGCTATTTATTATGACTCTGAAGAATGTTAAGAGCTGATAAATAAGATATTAGGAAACCAATACGGTTTTGTAAAACTGCACAGGCTTTAGTGTCAGATAAGTCTAGACTCTAAGTCCATCTTACAACTTCTTATAAATATGATCTTGTATGACTTTATTTCACCTCCTTGAAAGTTCTCTCCTTATCTTAAAATGCTAACAATATCCATTTTCATGGATTATATAGTAAATTAAAATAAAGATTTGTTATCTACTCTCCTCCTTTTCTTTATTATCAGCACCCCTCAGCTTTACCTGAACATGTAGACACTTAGCTACAACTACAATTCCCAGTCTAGCTTGTAATCCCAGTTCTCAATGGAATGTGAAAAGAAATGTGTACAATGAAAAAGGATGCTTTCAATCTTCCAGTATTTGTTCCATCTGGCTAGAATGTAGAGAGCAACTGCACAGATTCAGAGCTAGAAAATATAGCTGAGAATAAAAGAGCAACAGGACAAAAAGGGAACAGGAGCCTGACATCAAGATACCATATCAAGCTATATAACTTACTCTATTTAGGCAGTTACTGAGGAAAATAAACTCTCTCTTGATTAAGACATTGCATTTTGACTTTAACCAACATCTAACAAATACCATAAAGACAAAAAAATCACATAAAGCATAATAAATTTTTCTCTAAGAAAAGTTATCGTAAAAGTATAGTGTAATGTAACCACCCTAGAGTCTGGGAGATGTACTATATAACACTCAACCATTTATTCTCTTCTCTATAAGAGTATTTACATCTTTGCTTGTTGTATATAACTTATAGAGCCTCTATGGGTATCCCAGAGTGTGCTTGGCATATCACTTATATTGACCAACGAAATATGAGAAAGTTCTAATCCTAAATAGAAACTTTAAGAGCTCCTGGGACTTTCCACCAGCTCTTGCTCTTTTCTCTCTGCAAAGAAAACAGTGTATCATAAATAGGTCTGTTCCTTTAGTCTAGATCCTGAAATTTAAAAAAACATATACATATATATATATGATATAAAACCAAGTGAATTACTGGAGAACCAGTAATGTAATCAGAATTAATAAAATTTTATATTGTAAGTCACCGATATTTTGAGTTATTTTTTAGTGTAGTATAATCTAAAAAAAGTTAACACATATGTAGTCTAACACCAAAATATACTTGGTAGCAAAAAAAATAATAATAATAAAAATGAAGAGGTCCAGATTATTGGGAAAATTTATATATAAATAAGATAATAAATATGGTATTTTTGGTTTCATTTTGGGGGAAATATATGGAGGAGAGATGTTGGATTATATGACTTTGATTCTACAATACACAAAGTAAATGGAAACTAAGTAGCATTAGGATTAATATATATGATCATAATATTAATGTGGGAAAAGGTAAAAACAGAGACATCCTCCCTAAAGCATACTGCCAATCAATTTTCAGTCAATCACTGTCATAACATAAAGAATAACCAGTAAATATTATTAATAAAACAGAGGGAGGAATGGCTCTGAATATAAAAGAGTAATGAAGGAAATTTGTGATGGAAAAGGTGTTTTATCTTGTGATTGTAGTTCCATGAAGCCACACAGGATAAAACTGTACATGCACAGAACTATATATACAAACACAAATAAGTAGCTATAAAATTGGTGACATTTGAATAAGTTCTGTGAATTGTGCCATGTCAATTTCCTGTTTCACTATAATATTACAGTTATTAATATATCTGGTTTTACAATTATAAGAACAAAGTAGAAGGCACATGAGACCTATCTGTACTACCTTTTGCTATTTTTATTATGAAAAGTGGTGCTGAGGTACACCGTAAAATGGAGAAAAGGTGGCATTCCAAACAGAAAGAACACTGTGTGCAATAGCAAACAGATATAAAAGTTTAGAAGTGAAAAGGAAACACTGTAATCAATTGTATTCCTTAAACTAAACCACTTAAAATCCTTTTGGTCTAGAGTTCCCTAAAATCTTAAGAAAATGAAATGAGTCAATACCAGTGTGCATAAAAAATGTTATAATGCACACAGTTTTGTGTGGTAATTTGTTTTAAAACTTTTTTACATATTTACGTCCCCCAACCCCCCCCAAAAGAAGGCCAGCTATTTAGAATTCAGCTTTGTAAATTCTATTCAAGAGAGCTACAGAACTAAAAGATTAATCCCCACTACATTCTCCACCACAATCACCAACACACTTCTTCAAAGGTGGAACAACTCCTAAACTATCAAGTGAATAACTGAAATTTACACTTTTATACACTTATGTTTACATAGTGTGAATGGCTTTCAGAGTGGAAGATTAAATTCCTCTGAAAGGCTTGTATGCCTAAGAAACAATCATTTATTTCACAATACAAAGAAAAACAAAAGTGAAAACAGCAAAAAAGAAAAAAAATTAAAAATAAAAGGAAACAGTAGTGATTAACAGCAATCCAAAGTGGCTAAGGAAATAGCATTGAAAAGCAGGTTAAAGAGTAAAGTCAGTGATAAAGAAACTTTAGAAAGGAAAACAATTCTGAAGTGGGGTGGAGACAGCAGAGAAAAGCAAGTTATCTGAGCAGATAGAGTTGGTGGGGAGGAGCTCAAGGAAACACAAGCAGTGCCTGTGAGCAGTTTAGATATGCTGTTGTTCACAACTCACTTAATAATTTATTAAACATGTACTGGTTGCCTTCTAGGTACATAACAACAGAGATCACAAAAATCATACAAGGGCTCCTTCCCTAAAGCAGTTTATATTCTAGAATATGTTAACATCTCATGTTTGTTCCATAACATAGTAAGCCATTATAAATCGATAACATGGCAGAAAAAGATGTACAAATACTGTATTTTTAAAAAAAAATTTTAAATCTGTATTTAAGAATTTATTTGCTTTGCAGATTATCAGAAATGAGAGAATAAAGGTAAGGATAGCAGACAAAAAAATTTCGAAAGATGGTACAGCTGTGTAGTGTTAGATGGTACAGCTGTATAGTGTTATTGAAAAACAACAGGCATAAACATATCAGCATCTCAAACTAATA